CTCAATTGATATAATTTATTTACAACAATTAATAAATTTATCTTATTACTTTTCACGTAAGAAAGTATTCTTACATGTTCATTTTGCTTGCCGCGATTGTCATGATCATCCTGAGATAAGAGAGAATTATCTTGATTACTGTGATTGCTGGGATCATCTCTGTGATTGCCGTGTTCATTTCAATTATTATTGTCATGTTCATTTTGATTGCTGTGATCATCCTGAGGTGAGAGAATATCATCAGGATCATTTTGATTATCTTGATTGCTGGAATCATTTTCATGATTGCTGGAACTATCTCAATTGCTGTGTTCATTTTAATTATCATTGTCATGTTCATTTTAATTGCTGCAATTGCTGAGATCATTTTGATTATTGTGATTACTAAAATTATCTTGATTGTTATGATTGCTGGAATTATTTTGATTGCTGTGATTGCTGTGTTCATCTTGAGATGAGAGTTGCCATTTTGATTGTCATGTTCATTTAAAAAAAATAACAATTTTAAATCAAAAAGAAATCTAAAATTAATTTTTGTTACTTACTTGGTGAAATATCTATAATTAGGTCATTATCCAAATTTTTACTTTCATCATCCTGTTTTATATTTATAGTGCTAGGAATATCCTCCTCATTGAAAATATGTTGTTCAAATAAATCATTTATCAGTGAGCAATTATCATAAAACTTATTTCCATATACCAGTTCATAAGAAGTTTTTTTGTGAGACTGACAATAAGAATTATTTATCGATAAAATAACAAACTGCAAGCCAAAAAACCAATTTTTCCATCCTGTATCTTCTTTTCATTTTCCTAGTTTTTGCTGTTCATAAACTTACCTTTGACTTTGTATTGCTAATAATACATTGTTCAATACATTTATCTTTGGTCTCGTATTGTTAATAATATGAATATTATATCTTATATTCTGACTTCAAAGATTTAAAGACATTTTAATATGTATATTATATTTGACATTGAGATTTTGAGAACTCTTTTTAGCAGTCCAATTATTGCATTAAAAGAACACAACTGTTACCAACCTTTAAGTGATTTTTATAAATACTTATCATACTCTAACTTATATTCAGTTTAATAGTCATAAAGTATTATTAATAATTTGAATTGTCATTAAGATATTGGAAGTTTCCCTTTGAATATTCCTTAAATTTTATAAATATCTTTGAATATTTCAAAAGCTCCATCAAAATGATAACAATGCTATTTTCATATTCAAAAAGAAGATATATTTCTTCTAATTTATTTTTACAGAACCAATAGGTATTCTCATGTACTTGTCAAAGATATTCTCAAAAGTAATTTTCTCATATTATTACTTGAAGAAATTGTTTGATTTTCTTGATAAAAGCTGTTTGACATCTTTCTTCAACTTCTTTTCTAGTCTCGTAATATCAAATTCTTTTCTGAATATATGAATCAAAGAATATTTATATGAATTCTTTATTATCTATGTGAAAGTAATATTTAAGTTGCTTGTATTTTATTTGATAGTACTGTCAAATCTCTATTAAGTTGATAGTTACTTTGGTGAATATTTTTCTTGAGAATAATGTTTTCTTTTATCACTCAATTACTTTATATTGATAATTCTTTCTATTATATTCCAAAATAACAGGAATATTGAAGATGGCTGATTCTAATCTTTTCTCAAGAGTTTGTCATATTATTTTTTTGAATTGAGTTCAAGTAATATTATTTAGAGTTTGTTTAATGTTCTCATTGTTGATTTGAATTTAATGTCTTTGTTTTGTTAATAAGTATCTAATAGTTATTATGTGACTTAGTTTACATGCGTGTATACTAAACTTTTTTTTGTTATTTTCTTTTGGCATTTAATAGAAGTTTTAATATTCTTTTTCAGATAGATATTATGAATTTTTCCTGCTGTTTCTTAACTTTTGAATTCGTTGAGATCAGAACTGGTAACTGTCTTTTCCAATAATATAAATAGTAATTATTTGTTCAATGATATGGTTGTCAAAATCAATTTTGATTTTGATTTCTTTTAATTTTTGTAAAGTTTCTTGATTGAAATAATAGGTATATTATACAATGATTTTTGTCTTCATTTAATTATTTTAATTTTTAATATTGATTTGTTTCACTTAGAAATCTATCTCACTTTGGATGATTCTCTTATTGTAAGCACCAAGTATTATAATGATGCTAATTTCATAATAAATTAATAGAAGAGAATTCTCTCTTCTATTTTTAGTATAATTAGAATATTTCTTTATTCTAATTAAGTTATATTTATTTATTAATGATGAATAACTGTTATTACTAAAAAATAAAATATTAGAGATCTTTTTAGTATGATTAAATTTTAAGTATACTTTATATTGTTACCGTTTTGATAAGACTTTCGAAATACTCAAAAATATTTATAAAATTTAAGGAATGTTCAAAGAGAAACTCAAATGTCTTAATGATAATTCACAGTCTTAATAATACTTTATGACTTTAGACTGAATATGAATTAAAGTATGACAAGTACTTATAGAATCACTTAAAGATTGGTAACAGTTGTGTTCTTTAATGCAATAACTGGACTGCTAAAAAGAGTTCCAAAATCTCAATGTCAAATATAATGTACGTATTAAAAATGTCTTTAAATCTTTGAAGTCAGAATATAAGATTTAAT